CCAGTGCCCAATATAGAAGAGGAGGAGGAGACAGTGGTGGTTTTATGCAATACCAAGAACTATTAAAAAATATAAACTGCATAATGGCTGGGCATGGTCGTACATGACTTCAATTCCAGCTGTCAAGAGGTAGACACATGTAGATCTCTGCAAGTTTGAGGCCAGCTTAGTCTACATAGCAAGTTCCAGGCCAGCCAGAGATATACAGTGAGACCCTGTCAAAAACAAAAAACGACAAACAAAAAATCTAGATTAAAAAAGCTATTTTAGTTGTGCAATTTGTCCTGATGAAACCCAAAAGAACTTTGCCTAAGATGGGGATTAAGAAATATGTCTTACAGGTTCAGAGGGCCTGTTACCACTATTTCCCACAGGCCAGATCCCACACTGGATTCCCAACAAATGGACCTGGAATTCACTCATCAGAAGGAATGATCTGGGTCAGAGTCAGCAAGGTAAGCCTTGGGTGTTTCCTGTGTGCACTGGTCACTTGAAAACTGGATAGGCCCAGTACTGTGCGAGTATCCCCAATCTACCAGGGGCCTATTGTGCAAATCCAAGTAATTTCTCTGTGTTCTCTGGGCTCAGAATTATTTAGAAACTGCAGGTATCCCTTACATGGTTTCAGGGGTGCAATGAGGGGTCCACAGCCGTGAGCCTAGTGCTAAAAGTCAAGCAGCATTATAAGACAGGGGTGTGCCAAGCCCCTGCCTGGATGTGGGAGCTGCCTGCAACTTCAAGAGAGAAATACCCATATCAACACTAGTTTGGGCTTCCTAGGCCTCCTGAAGTAGGAATGTCTCACGAAGCAAGAAGAATCATTAGATATTTGTCAGTCTGTCTGTTTTGTGTGGACAGTACTCTTCTATCTAATGCACACTATTGGAACTCACTATAAAGCCCAGGCTGGCCAGAAACTTGAATTCGTCCTACTGCAGCCTCCCAAAGGCTGGGATGGTACGTGTGATCTGTCACTCCAGCTTAAGATCTTTATTCCTTTTCTCTCTTTTTTTGCCTAGGTACCCAAGAATGACCCCCACTCGTTCAGCTCCCACTCGTTCTGAATACTGGGCTTGCAGACATACACCACCACTTTTATGTGGTACTGGGAATGAACCCAGGACTTCATGCTTGCTGGGCAAGAAGTTTATCAACTCTCCTGGATTTCCACCAGTCCTAGTTAGGGTTTCTGTTGCTGAGATGAAACACCATGACTGAAGCAAGTTGAGGAGGAAAGGGTTTATTTGGCTTACACTTCCATATCACAGTCTATCACTGAAGGAAGTCAGGACAGGAACTCAAGCAGGGCAGGATCCTAGAGACAGGAGCTAATGCAGAGGGCATGGGAAGGGGCTGCTCACTGGCTTGCTCGTTATGGCTGGCTCAGCCTGATTTGTTATAGAACTCAAATATCACCAGCCTAGGGATGGCCTCACTCACAATGGGCTGGGCCCTCACCCGTCAATCACTAATTAATTACAACAGATCTTATGGAGGCATATTCTCAATTGAGACTCCCTCCTTTCAGACAAACCCAGCTTGTGTCAAGTTGTCATAAAACTAACCAGCACACCCAGCATCCAGATTGGGTAGATCACAACTGCCTGTAACTCCAGATCCATATGGTTCAATGCCTTTAATCCCAGCACTCAGGAGGCAGAGGCAGGCAGATCTCTGTAAGTTCAAGGCCAGCCTAGTCTTCACTATTCTTTTAGTATTTTTATCAGGTGGGTGCTATGCTGAATTGGTTTTCTCCTTCCATTTTGTTTTTGAGGCAGAATCTGTCATTTCTGGTGTTGTTCATACTCCAGGATGGCTAGTCTTGGAGGGTTTGGGGGGGGGAAGGGGTTCAAAGCATGGTTCCTTTGTGTAACAGTCCTGGATGTCCTGGAACTCACTCTGTAGAACTTACAGAGATCGGCCTGCCTCTGCCTCCCAAGTGTGTGCCACCATCACCCTGCAGGAGTTTTTGACTTAATCTCCTGTCTCTGCTCCGTATTTCACCTTAGGAGTCCTGGGATTAAATATGTGTTCCAAGGGTTTAGACTCAGGTCACCAAGCATATGTAGTAAGCACTTTTACTCACTGAGCCATCTCAGTGGCTCCAGTGGTTGTTTTTTTTGTTTGTTTGTTTGCTTCCTTGTTTTTGTTTATTAATGTTATTACATTTGTTTATTTATTTTGTGTGAGCAGGGTGCTAGTGTTCGAATGCTGTGCACAAACTGCAGAAAGTCAGTTCTTTCCTTCTACTATGTGGGTTCTGGGAATTGAACTCATTATTATTATTATCATCGTGTGTGTGTGTGTGTGTGTGTGTGTGTGTGTGGGTGTGTGTG